ATATCTAAAATATACTTGGAACTCAAAAAATTAAACCACTCAACAACAAATCCTCAAAGAAACAACTGCCCAATAAGTAAGTGGGCGAAAGACTTAAAGAGAAGCTTCTCTGAAGAAGAAAGAAGGATGGCCAATAGACACATGAAGAAATGTTCAACATCCCTAGCCATAAAAGAAATGCAAATCAAAACAACATTGAGATATCACCTCACTCCAGTTAGAACAGCAAAAATCAAGAACTCTAACAACAACAGATGCTGGAGGGGATGTGGACAGAAAGGAACCTTACTTCATTGTTGGTGGGAATGTAAACTTGTTCAACCACTTTGGAAAGCAGTATGGAGGTTCCTCAAAAGACTCCACATAGAGCTCCCCTATGACCCAGCAATCCCACTTTTGGGCATTTACCCAAACGTTTACAAACAAGACTACACTAAAGCTACCAGCACAACTATGTTTATTGCAGCATTATTTACCATAGCTAAGATATGGAACCAACCCAGATGCCCCTCAATAGATGAATGGATCAAGAAAATGTGGTATATATACACAATGGAATTCTATGCCTCCATCAGAAAGAATGACATTGCCCCATTTGTTAGGAAATGGAAAGGCTTGGAAAAAAATTATATTAAGTGAAGTAAGCCAGGCCCAAAGAAACATAGGTCCCATGGTTTCCCTTATTTGCAATATCTAGTATAGGTATGAGTCAAGCGGAAAAAGTCAGAGAATGTGATGTTAGGAAAACGAACCCTCAAATATGTATTTTAATGTTTTTGTTTCTTTCATGCATGTGTTTCTAACGCATTTATAAGATTATTTCTTGGTTGCTTTGTATGTCCCTCCCCCACAGTGTAACCCCTGCTTTCACTATATTTGATGTCAGTATAACATGTGGAGGAGATGGGGACAAACAAGTCGTTTAAGGATTCAGGTGGACCTGTTGCAACAATGAGAAGTACAAAATGTCATGTCAAAACCAGCTTTACAATGTCGGTGTGGGAGGGGGAGGGGGGGTATGATTGGGTGGGGGGGAGGGGGGAGGCTGGGAAGGGAGGTGAAGGGTAAACAAAGGAGGAGGCTGCAATGCTTGGTAAGAAATGTATGCATTATCCTGCCCATGTAATTGTAACCCCTCTGTACAGTATGTTCTCAAATAAAATAAAATTAAATTAAAAAAATAAAAATAAAAATAAAAAAAAATAAAAAAAAAAAGACCTAGTATCAGCACAAATAAAAAACTAAAGACCCTATTTAAAGATCAACCTGGTGATTTTGTTCCTAGTCCTTGGGATTTTTATGTAGACAATTTTAATTTGGAAGAAAAATGGGCAATGTGAGTTTCTGAGGTCAATGTCACTTGCCAACTCAAGGTTATTCCCTGGGACTCTTAGAATCCCTCTGTTATTATGTAACACATTGCTAGTCTTTCTCTTTCAAGACCTTATTTCTTCTCATAGCAATGGGAAGGATTAGCATTAGTTGAAACTCTTTCCTTAGAAATCATTGCAACAAGTGGTGCTGTGGCTCAAGTGCTAACCTTGAGCTGAAGAGCTCAGGGACAACACCCAGAGTTGAAGCGCTTAGTTCAAGCCCCATGACCGACCAAAAAAAAAAATCAGTAAGAAATCATTGCAACAAGTCTGGGAATATAGCTTAGTGGTAGAGTGCTTGCCTAGCACGCAAGAAGCCTTGAGTTCAATTCCTTGCTACCATATAAACAATAAAGAAAGACATAAAATTGAAAGAAAAAAGTAATAAAAAGTTTTAAAAAGAAATCGTTGCAACACATGTTAATTAAAGAGGAAGGCAGGTAGAATACACTTAGTAAACTCTTGCTCAGATAGGCAGTGGAGTTTAATCATCACTTGCTTCATCCTAATGTTTAGCCAGCTGTGGATTTCACTTCTAGCCTTGAAGACAAATCTGTTTGCTGGATTTCCAGAACTGCTTTCCACTCTGGTCTGGTCACTTATGTTTGGATCAAAACTGGCCACACTTGAAGTCTTGAACATCAGTTCCTGCTCCGAGTTTCAGAATGGCCAGGAGTCACCACATGTCCAGTTAGTTCCACATGAAACTCACAGCAACCCAAAGATTTAAGACCTCTTAAGCTCACCCACAACTTACACCTGACCTATAGTGTAAGTGAAAATCTATGCATTTCATGATAGAATTTATCCCTTGTCTTCTGAATCTACTTTGGTTATTATTTTCTGGCACAAGAGCTAAGGGAAGGTTTACTCCACTCCCTTGCTGGTACTCCCTCTTCTTGTACCAGATCAGGTAGCATCTGATTTTGAGAGCCTTCCCTGAAAACTCTTCGATGGATAGTCCTCAAAATCTTTGTAACATGAAGGTCTGATCCTCTGGACCATTACTATGGGACCTTACCTTTACCATCTGAGTTCTTTATTTGTCTAGGTAGAGACTGAATTATTCAGCAGCAGCTGCTTCTTTTGCTCCTCTTCTTCTCTGTCATTCTTTTTCAGATAGGGTCTTGCTTCCACCAAACTCACAATCCCCCTGCTTTGAAGTGCCAGAATTAGAGGAGAATACCACCACAACCTAACAGAGCAGTAGCTTGTTAAAGACATTTTATTGTCATTGTCTTAATCCCCTTGGAGTTGTTGCAGTAAATCCGTGTACTGTTTCCTGCACAGAATTCATCCCCAAACCTTAACCTTTAGGAGACTCTATGAAGGCTGTTTCGCATGACTCTACTTCTGCACTAGACTGAACATGACTATTTCTTCCTTTTGCTACCAATACGAGCTGAAGAAACAATTCTTCAAGGTTTTATTAACTATGCCCTTGTGTGTTCTTTTGGTTCGTAAGTGGTACCACTACCACATCACAAGGATGCTGATGCACCTTCTGAAATCTCTACAAAAATCTTATCTGAAAAAAAAGCAACTACTACCTCTCTCCTGGTATCATAGGGTTGGAGAAGCAGGAGGACCTCATAAACCTTGGTGCCTTTGCAGACGGTAGTATATCACAATGTCCTAAATTGAGGCACACATACCTGGATGTGACACTATCCTTCTTGTCACCTGCAGGGTCTCCTTACCACATTAATATTCCAGATACTAAGCTTCTTCTTGCAGCCTATGGGCTTTAAATATTTCTCAATTTGTCTCTTGTATATTCATAGCATTTACTCCTCTCAACTCAAAACTCTATCATAGGCAGTCAAATGTTGGAGTGGATGTGAACTAACCACCCTTCATACAGTCCAAATAGCTGTGAAAATGAATCCAGCCAAGACACAAAGATCAATGGTGTTTGCTGTAATACTTTTGTTCAAGTAGAAAATAGCCTGGGGCTGTGAAGGTAGCTCAGTGGTAGAGTACTTGCCTTGCATGCCTGAGGCCTGAGGCCCTGGGTTCGATTCCCCAGCACCACATAAGCAAAAAGAAAAAAGCCGGAAGTGGCGCTGTGGCTCAAGTGGTAGAGCGCTAGCCTTGAGCTGAAGAGCTGAGGGACAGCGCCCAGGCCCAGAGTTCAGGCCCCACGACCGGAAAAAAAAAGAAAAGAAAATAGCCTGAATGTCCATTTAGTGGAATCTAACTAAATACATGACTATGTGCATGCAATGACAAGTTCTATCTTCTATAGAGAAATCAAACACTGATATGTAACGTACTCTAAAATACAGTATTGAATACAAAAAAAAAAAATCCCAGGATACTATATTATATGGTAATAGTTGAGTTAGATGTGTCTATAAACTTGTGTAGGCATAGAGAAGTTTTAAAAAAAATATTTTTTAGAAGTCTTACCAGTGAGGGGCTGGGAAGGTGGCTTAGTGGTAGAGTGCTTGCTTTGCATGCATGAGGCCCTGGGTTCGATTCCTCAGCACCACATAAGCAGAAAAAAAAAGCCAGAAGTGGTGCTATGGCTTAAGTGGTAGCACGGTAGCCTTGATCTGAAGAGCTGAGGGACAACACCCAGGCCCATAGTTCAGGCCCCACGACCGGACCCCCCTCCCAAAAAAAAAGTCTTACCAGTAGCTACCTCTAGGGAAGGACTTAGGAATCCCAAGTCAAGAGAAAATATTTTTTACTGTGGACTTTCTGTACTGCTGATTATTTTTTAAACAACTGTGTGTATTGCTCATTTGACAGTTCCTTAAAGTGCTTAAAATACCTCTTCCACATAAGATATTCATATTTATCCAAAAGAGCTTCCCTTCTTCTTGGTCTAGATACAGTCTCCTGTGATAGCATCAGTCCTCTCCCTGCAGCTGTGGCCAGGTAATCCCTTCCCTGTAAGATGTACTATGTTTGACTTCTATTCATGATACTCTATGGCCTTGGAGTCAGTATGTTTTCTCTGGTCTTCACTGGATATTCCCAGTGGTTCAGGAAGTTCTTCATACTTAGTAAGTGGCTTAATTACTGCTTGTTGCTTGGCTCATTATCTAGGTTTAAAATTTGCACACACATAGTATATATTCCACACTGCAGCATTTCCGGCTATCTCAAGATCTACATGGTATTCAACACTTGAACCGCCAGTAGTCAATATCTCTGGGGTTAGAGTGTTCATACTCCCATTGTTTTTTGCTGCCTCTGTTCACCAAACTCCTTGACTCTACAATGCAGCCCCAATACTTCTCTCAGTCCCTAGCCATTTTGGGCGTTTATTTATCTGGTTTTTCACTTTTTATACTTGTTTTAAGATGTGATCTGCATTTGTCTCTAGAAAGAAGCCGGTCTGGCCATGTTTCCAAAGGTGAGGGATGAGACTGGGCATGAGTGAGTACATGCCTTGGCTGTCTTCATGAGACTCATGGAACCAAGTGCCTGTTCTCTGTCGCCACAATGTGTGCAAGGTCTAGTAGCCCACCCCAAAGTCAGACCCTTCCAGTAGAATTTAACAGATGTGTGTTGATTGACCATCCATAAGTGCCTTTGGCTGCTGCAGAGATAAAAATTCAGTATAGAGAAGAAGCATAAATTCAATCCAGGCAAAGAATTCAAACTGCTTCTATCTAACATTAAAAATTGTATATTAAATTTACATGCTAAATGCAGGGTGAAATGATTGAAGAACCAGCTTCTAAGCAGCAGCATCTGCAGGAGTCTGCAGTAAGTCCTAGTTTACCCTTATCTCTTCCTTGGTCTTAGACTCTAAATCTTGATCCCCACAGCTTGCTAAAGGGGTTGGCTTGAAAACACAGGGAACCCAGCATAGCGTCTGCCTCATCTTCAGCTCTCAACATCTGAGCCCTCCCTCCAGGGTATACCATGGGACCATTTGACAGACCCAGAACTTAAATAGAATGTGGTTGCTAAGAGGCTGCTCTTGTAAATAACACAAAATAGGTATCTAATCATGTGTCATTGTCAATCAAACATCACACTGTAGATAAATTTGGCCTCAATCACCAAATTACCAAGACAGTGAGTACGCTGGGTGATTTTTCTATTCAAAGATGGACCAGTTCTACATCACCTCTCTTTCCTGCCTTGCTGCCCCTTATGGTCAATTGGCCAAAGGGAAAGGTGAAAATGGGGGAGAGGGGTCCCCTGCATTTGAGTGAAGCCCAGGCTCTGATTTTCAGCAAGAGCTGCCAGCCAACTAACAGCGGAAATCACGGCCTCATGGGGGAAAGTGGCTTCCTCTTTCTTGGAGTAACCATCTCTTTCCTTGACCTTGCTGTGGAAGGTGATCCTGAGCAAGGGGAGGACCCAGAAATGGAACAGGTTAGAAATAGAAGGAGGGTATCTCTACTCTACATGTTCATAGAGCTTTATAGACAAAATAAGCCAGAATGTGACCAACACAACCTCTCCACCCATTCTTGTCTGGTCTACAAATTGCTCTTGTAGGGACTGTTAGAAATCATTTTCTAAACAAAATATAGACCCTGAGTACATTTCTGTATTATTTCCATTCACGAGTTTGTTCCATAGATACATATAGATACATAGATACATATGACATCATTTGTTGTGTTGATTCCCAGAGCAGGTATAAAAGAAGGCAAGATCGGCTGCAACATTTAGGGGTAAATATCAAAGCTCTCCAGTTCCTTGTGGCTCAGTCAGGAAGGATTATGATCCTTGGGGCATTGATTTCCAACCTGCAGAAGAAAAGGAGAATCTTTCAGACCCTCACACCTGAAGATCCTTGTAATGCTCCCCTAGGATGTGGATTAGTATCCCCACCACATAAATTAAGAAAATGAAGCTTAAAGTCTTTTACTTCATATGAATTTCTACTCAGTTCTTCTTGCTCCAATTCCAGTGCTCTTTCAACTACAGACTGCAGCTTTGTATTCCCTCATATCACTTGGCCCATACCATGTCCTTTAACCCCCTGCACTACTCAGGGGGTTAAACATTGGACTCTAATGTTGGAATGTCACCCAAGAGCTAGTGATTCCTGAATGCACCCACTCAGCCTCTCCTCTGGGGCCAAAGACATTTTTTTGTTGGTTGTGGGGCTTGAATGCAAGGCCTGGGCACTGTCACTGAGCTTTTTCATTCAAGACTAGTGCTCAACCACTTTGAGCCACAGCACCAGTTCCAGTTTTCTGTGATTTAATTAGAGATAAGAGTCTCATGCACTTTCCTGCTTGGGCTGGCTTTGAACCACAATCCTCAGATCTCAGCCTCCTGAGTAGCTAGGATTTTAGGTGTGAGCACTGGTGCCCAGCTTTCAACAACACTTTCATTGGATACAGATGGAGGTTTACATATCATATGAGGCTAATGGGTGAAGGTAATTCCCATGCCTTAATTTTTCTCAATATAAATGGAAAACATAGAGGCTAGGGATGTAGCTATGTGGTATAGCACTTACTTAGGATATGCAAGGTCCTGAGTTGAATCCACAGCAGCACAAAACACAGGAGGTAGGGAGGAGAGGAGTATGATAATAGCTAGCTTATAGCATTCTGTGAGCACTTAATAAGATCACAGTATGTGAAGACACTAGCAGATTGCTTTATAGATGGGAATCAATTCAGTGGCCAAGCTCAGTGGTCACTTTGATCAGTGTTCACCTCAGCAGAAGCTTAAGCTCACCCACCTCCCCAAATGATTCTTAACCACTAGCTGACTTAAGAAAATCATATTTTCCCCTCTTAAACCCTCCCATGTCCCCACACATGCACTCTTTCAAGGAAGATGCCCCATTTGTAGTCCATAGCCTACAAACTAGCTTGGGCAAAGCCTTAGTTTTGAATCCAAGATACCTACTAGTCAAATCTAACCACATGATGTAAACTTGGGTTAGATCTCTACTCTTATGGAGCTTCCGTGTCTTCATTTGGTTTAGAGGGTCCTTGCAATCCCTACAACTCTGAGACTCTATGGATGACTTTTGTAACTGTACCCTTTGTGGTTGGATCCTTCTAGACTTGTTTGTAGAGTTCCAGAATCTTACCTCTTCGTAGATGGTGCAAGTGCCAGAAGAACTGTGATTCCTCTTCTTGATTCCAAAATAGAAATTCAGAGGGTTAAAAATAAATATGTATATTGTCTCTAAGTAGCACTCCAGTAATAGGTAGAGTTTTCATAATGGAATCCAAAGCATTTAAATCTGGCACCTGAAAACATCTTATGGTCTCATAACTATCTCTCATGGCGAGACCTAGGTTGGTTGAATGACTTGTTGGAAGGAAGTGAGTGAAAAATCTGAACATCTGTCTTAAAGCCCTTCAAACACATACCCCTGACTTGTATGGCCTTCTACAGTTTCATGGAGTCCCAAGTTCCTGCTTGCCCTGCCATATTCTAGCTTATAATTTCATCCTGTGGCTCACTCATGGCAATACCTTCTCTCCCTATCCCCTTCCACACCTGTTAAAAAGATGAGCATGGAGTGGCGTGCCAGTACCTCATGCTTATGGTCCTAGCTATTCAGAAGGCCATGATCCAAGCACTGTGGCTTGAAGCCAGCCAAGGCAGGAAAAGTCTTTGAGACTCTTATCTTCAATAAATTACAAAAAAGCCAGAGTGGAGCTGTGGTTCAAGTGGTAGAGCATCAGCCTTGAGCAAAAATGCTCAAGGACAGCACCCAGAGCCTGAGCTCAAGCCCCAAGACCAGCACCCTCACACCCACCCCCACACACACATATAGGATGAGCATGGGCCCCTGGGATACTCACTTCAGTGGTCCCAAGTACATATGTGAGCTATGTCTGAGCTTAGTTTAGAGAAAGATTTGAGTGAACCATTATAGCTACCCTAGTCCAGAAACCTGCACCATCAGACGACTAACAAGAACCTTTGAACCCTGGAAGTCAATGTTGTGTTTCTCTACTGCATCCCACTTTTCCAACTCTAGGAAATACTGGATAATGGAAAACATCCCGTATCTCTCTCACCACAGCCCCAGCTGGCCTACTAAAGATCTTTTAATCACTGCACAAAAGATCTCTTTTCTATCTCTGTCCTTTGTCTCTCTCAAGAAGTCCGAGGAAACCCTATAATCCATGGCTGAGTCTCACAACTATTATTTTTCTTTGGCCAGAAGCAGAAAGGTACTTCTTCTTCTTGGTCCATTAACATTTAAAAGAAGCTACTCAGACATTCACAATGGAAGACAACTCATTGGACTTGCACACTTACTCTGCAAACACAGCCACATGTGCACATGCAAAATACACATCTGTATCCCCAGAGGATGAGACTCACCTTCCGAGAATGATGTATCATTGAATATAATGTTTTAGTAGTTTCTTGTGATGTGGAGGCTGAACACTAATTAGAAGACAAAAGTATTTCAGAAACAGATCCAAAACAACCCTGGGGAGATTATCTCCTTCATTCTCTGCCTCAACCCTGCTTAGGTGAAAGCTGTGTTAGTGGAAAGAACCTTAGACTAGCCAGGAGGTCTGTCAAACTAATGTCACAACTAATGACAGCTCCTATATGCTGAGCATGTGTTTTGTGTATATATTCTTTCTTGATCCTTATTCCACTCCCGTAACATGGAAAGGACCGGAATTTTCTCCAGCCACAGATAAGGTTACAGAAGACTGAAAATTGCAAATCAAAATACTGTATGCACAGGAATGGCCAAGATCTCTAGAATACTTTTCCTCAACAGCTTAGTTTTCCTTCAACAGCTTAATGTTTCCCTCTGGCAACATGGGACCTGGAATAAGTGTCCCCTAGGACAGGTAAAGCCATTCTCCCTTTTAATATGGTCAAGAAGAGGAAGGTGATTTTCACAGGATACTCTATTCCAAGAGTTCTTGTTTTCCTTTCCCTAGAGTTCAGTGTGGCTGAAGCCAGAAAGTTGGAAGATATTAATTATGCTTATAATGCAATTTCTTGAGCACATACTATGTAGTCCAAGAAGCTTGAGAACATTGCTGCTCCTGATCTTCCATTTTTATACAAATTTTTATCATCCTTTGGAAGAGATTTCCTGCCCTCACTTCTCAATAAAGTCATCTTAGGTATCAGTATTAGAGGATGAGCAAATTTCTGTTGTCTTAGGATATTAGAGCCAGTGTAGAATGAGGTAAAGTGCAAATTCAGAAGCCATTGGCTCAGCTTTGCTACTACCCAGCCGTACAGTCTTACACATATTAGTTAACCTGTCTCTCAGTTTCCTCATCTATAATATGGGGTTTAACCTATAAAGTATTAGGACTACATTATGAGGCTAACACATGAGATTTATTAAAAAATGAATATTACCATTAATTCTAAATAAGATAAAGGGACTAGCATGTCGATTCTGTCCTGGGGCCTGAACTCAGGGCCTCTCACTCTCACTTGGCTTGTCATTCAAGGCTGGTACTCTAGCACTTGATCCATATCTCCATTTCTAGCTTTTTTCTAGTTAATCAGAGATAAAAGTCTCATAGATATTTCTGTCTGAGCTGGCTGACAACCTCAGTCCTTAGATCTCAGCCTCTTGAGTAGCTAGGATTACAGGTGTGAGCCACCAGCTCTGAAAATAGTTTTAATGGGTAAAGGGAATAAATAGTATATAGGCTTCAATTATTAGAATTAGCTATAAAGAAAACAAAAGTTAGGTCCCGTAACAAGATAGGCTAGGCCTTCTGGCAAGTTTGAGAGAAGGAGGAGGGCTTGCATTGGGCTTTCAGCTGTGTTAAGACACTCCAGAACATACTACCCCAGATAATTTGTTAATGCACCAGTGGAGACACTGTCTTCTGGACCTGGGGAGCACTAAAATCTCATTCTGCCATTCAAGGGTATGAATTAGGAAGCCCCATGGATAAAGAATGGAAGGGATTAGAGAAACCAGAGTGGTACCTGGAGCTCGACCATAGAGTAGATGGTGCTCCCTTCTCCAGGAGATTTCTGCTCTTCATTCTGCTTCTGTACAAGGAACAGTTAGAAACATGAGGTGACAAAAGCAGACAGCAGATCCTGTCCAGGTGTGGAGTGAGTAGAGAGACAACACAAAGAAAAGGGGACTCCAGGAGAAAGGAAATGGCAGGATGGAGAAGAAAGGAGAGATGGTAGAATGGAGAGAGCCTCATCATTGGATACCCCAGAATGAGAAAAGACACGAAGAGCAATTAGTGGTGGAGCAGTATCAGGAGTAAGGAACCACACAGGTGTGACAGGATTCAAGCCACATGCCCAAAGGAATCCTTGCCCCTGCCTTCACTTCAGTAACTTAGAAACTCTCCTGTGCTTTTTCTGACTTCTGGATTAAATTTGCTACAGAAGCACTGACAACTGGCAGAACTCTAGGTAGTGTTGTAATTGAGCTGTTCCTAGAGGCACTGAAATTCAGAGGGTTTAAGCATTTTTAAGAGATCCCTTTGAGATCCGGCCTTTATGGCTAGCTTCTTAGCCTCAAACCAGCCTCTGAGTGACTCCAGTGCTGGGTGGAGCCCTGGCCCCAAGGCCAAGGGCAAGGGCACTGGGCCCTTCCTGCTGTCCTCCTCATGCTTTTCCCCCATAGGAGAGTAGAGGCAGAAATATTTCATCCTGCATATCCCTGGGTGCCTACTACTGCTAGTTTGGTGGCTCTAGGTAGAGAGTGAGAGAGGCCAGAAGGGTTCATCAGGCAAGATAGAAGCTAAGCTCCCGAGAAGCAAGACAAAGCTGAGAAGCAGAGAAATGTAAACCATCCTTGGCAGGTAGGGTCATGAGCATCTCTCATGAAATGGGAGTTTGTTGCTTTCTCTTCTGTCCAAGCCCAGATGAACTGTCTCCAGACAGGTGGGAGCTGGGACCAAGTATAAACACATGAAATTTGGGATTCAGGCCATTGTGACAAAACTGGAGAACAATGGAGAGATGCTAGATTGACAGCTGTCAGGCAGGGACAACCCTCCCCACCCCTCCCATCCCAAGTTAAGGACAACATAAACTGAATCCCCAAGAGGTTTCCATTGCTCTAAATGGAGCTTTTCTCCTGTGACCCTTCAGTTTGACCTCATCTAAAGCATCTTCATTTTGGAAGAAAAGGCTGTTTTCAGCAAGCCTTTGGGCATCTGTGTCTATATGTGTGGATTCACAGGAAGTTGTACCACAGCCCCATAGCAGTAGGAGAAGCATTCTCCTTTCTGGTTTTCACACCACAGTATTCCCAGATAATGAAATAGTCTAGAGGATCTACCCTCATTCTCTTTGAGTTAACAGCCTGTTCTGCCAGGCTTAACAATGCTACCCTCATGTGACTGGCACAGAAGACCACAAGTACTTCATGGCAGTGGGAAAAGGTCACTTCTTCCTTACTCCCATCACCCTTCATCCACACTCTACCACCCCGAGCACTGCCTAACTGGTCTGGGCCTTTCCAAAGGCCTGCCACCACATCCTGCCCTGCTCAGGGGCATAGTAATGGAGGCATCAGTCCCTCTGTAACTTCCTTCCTGTCTACATTCTTGATTGACTTGAAGAGCTGGTCATTACCTACAATGAGCTGGTGAGAAGAAGCCTCTGGTCCATTGACTCTCAACCAAACTGATTTCTCACTCTGGTATCTCAGCCAGATTTGGGCCTCTTCTTTCCAAAAGACTATGATCATGGACCAGTGCATCAGCTACAAAATGTATGCTTTGACTGATCATGCCTACCAGCTTGGGTAATGATCAAGGAATCCACAGAAATAAGTTCTTATCTTTGAGAATAAATAGAAGAGGGCATTCAGTCCTGCTGGCAAGACTGGGCAGAAATGAGGTGCAATCTGGGAGTTGTGCTCCATCCCTTCTCAGCAGGTATAATTCTGCATCATGTTACCATTATTTCTCTCTCCTTTTCATTTTTCCTGATCCCTTCTTTTTTCCCTTTTCCTCTATAACTAGAGCTTTGAAACATTAGGAAAAATAGATGAGAGAAAGCTGAGCATCACTTTGAAATGATAATTGTCCACTTCTCTTTGTCACCCTATTCTGAATGGCCATTCTCCAAAGATCATCCTGCAGACCAGTTAAGAGAGTCCCACAAGAGTGCCATACTTGATTCCTCGTGACTTGCAGGTCTTTGACATCTTCATAAACAGTCAGAATTCTCTGGGAACGGGTCTCTGTTGTAGGAAGGAAGCAAAGAACAGCACTTCAAAAACCTCCAGGGAGTCTCTTGTTTAGACCTCCACACTTCTACCAAGACTTTGAGAATGGCTCTAGAAAGGAGATAGATTAGTGCTCTTCCAGGATATACAAAGAGCACAGTGGAGCACCTACCCTTGACATCCTTCTTCCATCAAACTCAGCACCTGCACATAAATCTACATACTGAGCATCAGCCTGTAAATATCGTGCAGCCACTGCTACCCTCCATGAAGCATGCACACATATCCCAACACTCCTCTGGGAAGATGACAGGCTGTTCATCCTGACACATTCTACTGGACACAGGGCATTTGATGCCTCAGGGACTGGTCCCCTTCAAGGCCATGGCACTTACGTGACTGCTTCTTCTTCTGCTCCCACACATACCAGCCAGCCAGGCTTCCAACGAACAGTATGATTAGAACCAGGATGATCACCAAAAAGAGCAGAAATCGGGATGCTGAGGAATACAGAATGCAGAAGAACTAAGTCCTCACTCCTCCTCTTCTTGCTTCTCATAGCTACAGGGACGGTCTCAAAACCCATTCCCTAGCCAACACATGAGGGTACAGGCCTATAATACTAGCTATTCCGGAGGCAGGAAGATCGTGAGTTCAAAGCTAACCCTGGCAACAGTTATCAAGACCCTATCCCAAAATAAGATAAAACAAAGCAAAATGAAACAAAGATAAATAAAATAAAATGAACTAGGGGGTATTACTCATGGTAGAGGATCTGAGTTCAACTTCCAATATTCAAACAAAGTAAAACAAAACCCTCCTCTTTGGTGTGGTGGCCTCCTCATATGTTATGAATTCATCATCAAGGTTATCTTTCTGCCCACTTGAGTGACTTCCCCTGAGTGATGTCAGATAGTAATATTTGACGGCTCTGGTCCAGATTATAAATTATAGAAGCTTCTGTTTATTTAGTGCTCTGAGCCTCACTTTTCTCATCTGTAAAAAGGAACATTATTAACCTGTGGCAGTTAATTATGTACTGTGATATGTATAAAGCATCTTGCACAGAAAATGTTTCAGCTATGGTTATTAACTCAATAGACATTCGTTGCACACCTACTTTGTGCCAGGAAAGTCTTCCATTTTACCTTCCTGATTTTTCTGGCTCCACTGCTCTTCCTCAGGTGAACTTTTACATTTAGCATTTGGGTTACACATACAGCCTTATGCATAATCCCACTAACAGGAGGGAAAAAGAAGAAACTGTTTTTCTAGGTACCAACTGACTAGTTCTTACAATGATCTCATTTAATCTTCACAGCAATCCTGTGAGCTACTTACTATTCCCTTTCCCATTTTATACAGGGGAAAAGTGAAAACTCCCCAAGTTTAATGAATCTGCCTGGGATCACAGAACTGAAGAATGGTGAAGCCATGATTGGCCTGGGCCAAAGCCAGTATCCTTATCACCACACCTTTCCTCAGCCTAGCTTTTTTCTTTTTTGTTCACAAGTGCTTAGTTTTATTAGAAACTCTGTGGTTATTTTATTTCCTAATGCCAAGTCTAGTGGCACATTAAGTTCTTATTTATCTAATAAAGATCTAATAAACAGATTCAAATTTAATCCAGGCAACCCTTTGAATAAGCAATAAGCCCAGAACTATTTTAGGTACCTTGTGACTTTCTTAATGATCTCACTGACCCAGGGCATTGCTTTACAGTATCATTACTCCTTGGAAACTATTTGACTTGAGGTAAATTATCACTCAGGAGGAAGCAGGTCTTCATAAGTATCTCATAGCAAGAAGATAATGGTCAGAAGCTATTATAGACCTCATCCATTAAGTAGGCATTCCCTATGTGGAGGGAAAACGATACAATTCTTGTCCAGACTAATACAGGCCTGGCTTTATTTAAAAAAAAATGTACCTAGAGGCCAGATCCCTGCTGAGGAGGGGCTACAAGACATTGAGAGAAGAAGCTAAAGGATCTCACAATCAAGCATCTCTTACACATGAACCTGGATGTGTGGCACAACATTTTCAAATCCTTTATAGCCTAAAGTGTTCTACTTACTCAAGGAGTCTCCCAGACAGCCCTGGGTGAGGTTAAAGGAATGGCTGTCCCAGCTGACAGGGTTGCTGACATTGCAGGTGTATGTGTGTGGGCCACTGACATGGATCTGCTCCTCCACGTAGGTATGGTTCTTCTGTGTGGCAATCACCTCACTCCCTCTGTACCAAGTGTAACTCACATAGTCATCCCTAGGGACCAGGCAGGACAGAGCCACTTGACATATCCCTTCATCAAGGGCTTTCCACTGCGCCCACAGTTGGGGCTTCTCAACATGATCTGGAAGTAGAGATTATGATCAGAAAGGTACTGAAAAGTACAAATCATTCAGGAATCAGAAGGATGAATGAGCAGTCTTGGAAACTCACCCAATACTGACACATTGAAGGACACAGTGCAAACACTCCCAGACTCCTCTGTGACCTCCATTGTATATAGACCACTGTCCTGTGGGTTAGCTCCTTCAATGAGAAGAGTTAAGTCTTCATTGTCAAAACTAAATCTACTTTCATAAACATTCATCTGACTAGAATTATTCTTCCATGTCATTATTGCAAAATAATTCTTGGGCTGTTGGAGCTTCCATTCAACAGAGTATATCTTTGTCTTTGTCTGTGGTTTGGGAGGTCTGAGCTTGACAGGCTTTCCAGTAAGGCAAACCACATAGTTGTCAGTAGAATCTGGGCATTCTAGGAAAGAAAATCCAGACTATCTTATCATTGCTTTTAAGAACGTGACAGGAAATATCTGAGGCCCAGCCCAGTTAGATGTGACTTCCTTTAAACTGGGAGAAGAGGACAAAGAGCCCACAGCCCAAGTGAAGTTTGAAGTATTTTTATCTGCCTCTCCTTCTCTCCACCTCTGTCCTTTAGTCTGAAAGAACACACAGACCACTCACATATCTAGAATCTCTCAATGTAATTCTCATAAAAATCCCAATGTCATTCTTCATAAAAATAGAAAAAATGTCCCAAAAATTAAGAGACCATAAGAGACCATGCATAGCTAAAGCTATCTTGAGCAAATATAAGCAGTGCTGGAAGTATCACAATACCTAACCTCAAATAATGCTACAGAGATATAGTAACAAAAATTACTTGGTACAAGCACAAAAATAGACACATAGACCACTAGAATAGAAGACCCAGAAATAAAACTATGCAGCCACAGCCATCTGATTCTTAACAATGATGAAAAAAACCAACAAACCAACAACAACCATACATTGGAAAAAAGACAGCCTCTTCAAACAAATTATTTTGGGAAAACTTGATAGATACATGTAAAAGACTGAACTTAAACCCCTGTCACCTGCATAAAAAGAAATTAAAAATGGATCAACCACAGGAAACTTTGAAACTATTGCAGGAAAACACAAGGAAAATACTTCAAAATCTAAGCATATTTGAATAGAATGTATTAGCTCAGGAAATAAGAGCAAGAAGTAACAAAGGAGATTATTGCATCAACTTGAACACTTCTGCAATTATCATAGTGATCAAACAGCATATAGAATGAGAGGCAAATTTTGCAAGCCATACATCTTACCAGGGATTAATATCTAAAATATATAAAGAGCTCAGATAACCAAACAACAACAAAATAATAACCCAATTAACAAGTTAATTAGAAATCCAATTAGCAAGTGAATTAAACAGATAGTTTTCAGAAGAAGTACACATAGCCACAAAAACCACATGAAGAAATGTCAACATCCTTAGCCATAAGGAAATGTAAATTACAATATTAGGATTCTATCTCATCTCAGTCAGAAAGGTTATCATCAAGAAAACTGGGCAGTGGTGGCTCACACCTATAATTCTATCTACTTAAGAGTTTGAGATCAAGGGACTCAAAGTTGAAAGCCAGCCCATACCAAACAGCTGGCAGAATCCTATCTCCAAAAATAACCAGCAAAACATAAGACTGGAGTTGTGACTCCAGTGGGAAAATACCAGCTAAGCAAGCAAGGTAAGTAAGTATGAGAGTCTGAGTTCATATCTAGAGAAAGAAAGAAAGAAGCAAATGAGCCATTTTGTTTGATTGACTCCTTTAGGAAAAAGAGTGGCCTTGTGATACTGACTTTTGGAAGAGAATGTTGAAATTATGTCAGGACAGAATACTTAAACCCAGGATGTTGAAGGCTATGTTGGCTACTTACTATCCAGGTAAAATGTTACTGTATATAATGCGAATTGCATATTGAAATGATAATATTTTGAAGCTATCAGATTACATAAAATGTTATTAAAATTGAAAAGGAAAGAAATGAAAGAAAGAAAGAAGGAGAGGGAGGGAGGAAGAAAAAAGGGAGGGAGGGAGGGAGAGAGAGAGGGAAGGAGGAAGGGAAAGAAAAAGAAAAAAATGAAAGAAAGGGAGAAAGAGAAAGAAAGTCAGAAATTGAGACAGAAAGAGACAGAGACAGGAGAGAGAGGAATGTTGTGTGGGATGGAACCTTTAGCACTATACTGTACCTACTATGGAAACCAGTATGGCAATTCTTCAAAGACATAAAAATATAACTACCATATGATCTTGGTATACAATTCTTAGGCATATATCCAAAGGAATGTCAAGATAAAATAGACATACCTGTACATGGATGCTTATTCTGATACAAATCAAAGCAGCTAATTATTCATCAACTGTTGAATGGATAAAAATCATGTGGCATATGAGGGAGGAAAAGTGGGGGTCAAGGGCTAAAGGCATGAATCAAGTGGTAGAGCACCTGACTAGCAATCTTGAGACCCTGAGCTAAACCCTAGTAACACCAGGAAAAAGAAAAGGAAAAAGAAAGAGAGAAGGAGAAAGGGAAAGAGAGAGGAAGGGAAGGAGGAATGATGGAAGGAAGGAGGAATTTGATCAAAATGAATTATATATGTGTATGCAAATATTACAAAAAAAATCCTCTGTACAGGGGCTGGGAAGGTGACTCAGTGGTAGAGTGCTTGCCTTGCATGCTCGAGGCCCTGGGTTCGATTCCTCAGCACCACATAAGCAAAAAGAAAAAAGCCGGAAGTGGCACTGTGGCTCAAGTGGTAGAGTGCTCGCCTTGAGCTGAAGAGCTGAGGGACAGCGCCCAGGCCCAGAGTTCAGGCCCCACGACCGACCCCCAAAAAAAATCCTTTGTACAATTAATTTATGCTAATTAAAATGAAAATATCAAAAATATGTGGCATGCATTTACAATGAAATATTACTCAGTCATGAAGAAGAATAAAATTATATCATTTTCAGGAAAGTTGGTGAAATTAAGTAAAATAAGCCAGTCTCATAAAGACAAATATTGTATGTGCTCTCTAATGTGTAGAATCTAGACACATAAATACAAATAAGCAAAAAGCCATGGACCTGAATAAAAAACTATTTGATGGGGAGGGAATAGGAGAAGAAAGAGACAAAGAACAATGATGAGGGCATATGAAAAAGATCAAACTTTCTAGCATACATTGGAAAATGTCATAGGGAAACACATTATTTTGTGCCATAATTTGCAATCCTATTTTACATGTAAAGAAACAGACAGAGAGAGATTAAGTTACATTTCCATGTTATTACTGCTAGTAATGGGCAAAATTTACATGTGAAACTGGGCTACCACAAACAACTGGCTTTATTTTTCTAGGAACATGATAACAATTTCAATTATATGAAACATTTTAACAAATAAGTCCCTTAAAAATAGGCCAGAATGTCTTAAGTGCTCACTATGCGACAGGTAAGTTCAAACATGTGTTAGCAACTTCACAGAAACATTTTGAGAGAGTTATCCTTGTTTTATGAGTGAGAAAAATGAGTAAGAAAGAACTTAAGTACCTTGCCCACATTACTTAGTAAAAATGATGAGCTTGAAATGGCATTATTTTGGCTTTAGGGATCCTTTACTTTGCTTTCCCCCAGTTTCCCCCTCCTGTCCTGGCCCACAAGTTGCAGAGTTCATTTTCTGCATAGTGACTACGGCTGATGGCTGCATTTGTTCAACCTTCTTTCCTCCATTTCTGCACCCTCTCTTGTCCCCCTTCAAAAGACAAAAGAATAATAGCCAGGGTTGAGAATATGCTTAGTGGTAGAGTGCTTTCCTAACATGCATGAAGCCTTGGGTTTGATTCCTCAGTATCACAGAAAAAGCCAGAAGTGACTCTGTGGATCAAGTGGTCGAGTGCTAGCCTTGAGCAAAAGAAGCTCAGGGACAGTGCCCAGGCACTTTGTTCAAGCCCCAGGACTGGGAAAATAAACAACCAAACCCCAGAAGTCCACTGTATTTGATGTTGGTATAATTTGTGGAGGGGAAGGGAAAAAACAAATTGTTTAAATAGGGATACAGGTGGACTCATTGCAACAATGAGATGTACAAGATGTTATGTTGAAAAACGAACTTACAACTTTGGTGGAGGGGAGATGGGAGGGCAAGGATGGTAAAGGGAAGAAAAGGAGGAGGCAACAATGCTTGATATGAAATGTACTCATTTCCTTGCTCATGTTACTGTAACCCCTCTGTATGGTATTTTCACAATTAAAAAAACTTATTAATTAAAAAAAAAAAACCAAGAAGGCCAAAAGCAAAGAAAAAAATGGCACCATCACCAAAAAATAAATAAATAAGAAATAAAAGGCATGTTTCCATTTTCTGAAATTTGTTTTGATAAATAGTATTTTAAATGTTCATTGGGGTTTTATCTTTGAGTAGGGAGGGATGTTTTTAAGGAAATTTGACTTACAGTTAAATTGTATTATGACTTACAGTCATGTGCCATCATGTATCATCATGTTTAGCATCTAAATGATAAATTTTTAATAACAATGCTATAAAGATCATGTCTAATGTGACTTCCTCTATTGTAGTTTGGACATAAAGCATCCCTCTACTATAATTTTTATGGAGATAGTATAAAGGTTCCTCAATAACCTAGAAATAGAACTACCACATTTTCCAGTAATCCCACAACTGGGTATATATTCAAATAAAATCAGTATATCAAATAAACACTTGCTCTTTCATGTTTACTGCCAAACTATTTATAGTAGCCAAAAAAAATAGAATCTACACACACACACACACACACACACACACACACACACACACAAAATGGAATATTATTTGGCCATAAAACAATAATGAAGTCCATTCACTTACACAAACATAGATAGAACATTAAGGCTAGGTAAAATAAGTCAGGCAGAGGAAAACAAATACCATATGATCTCACTTATGCAGGGCACCTAGAAGTTGTGCCTCCTAGAAGGAGATTACTGAATGGTTGTTACTGAAGACTAGGAAGAGCTTGGGAGAAGAAAAATGGAAAGATAATTAATATATACAAAGGAGAAGCTAATAGGAAGAATAACTTCCAATGTTCTACAGCACATCAAGCTAACCTGGTGGGCAACAATAGTTACTGTTCAAATTTGAATATTTCAGAATATTTCAGAAAATTGTGTATATGTATTGAAATTTATACTCCATGATTATACATTATTATATGTCATTTGTGAATAAAAGTAAGTCTGGAATGGTGACATAGTAATTACAGTACTCAGGAGACTGAGGAAGAAGGCAGCTGGGTATGGATGATGAGACACATCTGTAATGTAAGAACTCAGGGGGTTAAGGCAAAAAAATGATGAGTTCAAGACTAGTTTTGATAATATAGTGAGAAGCTGCCTCAAAAATAATAAAAAGTGAACA